TCGAAAGAATTTCCCGAGTGACGTGGCAAAATGGCACGAAATTCTAAGAACGCATGGAAATACAATGTTTTAATCGAAACGCCCGCCTTGTGGTGAGTATAGATAATTAGTAGTGTGTGTGTGTGTGTGTGTGTGTGTGTGTGTGTGTGTGTGTGTGTGTGTGTGTGTGTGTGTGTGTGTGTGTGTGTGTGTGTGTGTGTGTGTGTGTGTGTGGTTGTAGAATTTTCGAATTTTTTTCCCAGAGATTCCCGCACTATCAATCGACATCTGCCTGCGAAATGAATCATGCTTTATTCTTGTCATTAATTTCCTACACCGAGAAAAACAAAACTGTTCGATTGAAAGAAATATTATTTGATTCAACCACATACGTCGGTCACGGACTGTAAAGTAAATATTTGTTAATTTACAAAAATATTAATATTAATATTAATTTAATGCTCTTTAGCATTAGTCCAGAGGTAAATTTTAAGAAACACGACTGCGACAAAATTTTTATCCTTTGACTACTTCAACTTATTAAACGCAAACGCGTTATATCGTCGGCGTTTCGAGATAAACAACGATTGCGACGTTGCATTATATGCAGTTCGCAATTTAAGAGCTATTAAGCAAGATCATGTGTGTGATATGAATAGAATAACTTTGTTATTAAGCCATACATTTGACAGATATAGGATCAATTAAAGATAACATTAAAAATTAAGATCTTATGAAGAGAGATAAGGTTCTATAAAATTTTCAGCAACAAAAGATTAACTTCAAATTAATTGAATAATTTATTTAGATAAAGTTCTTCGAGGTTTCTCAAAGACGTATTGTATTTAATTCCTTTTGACGTTCTTATTTCACGGAAAATATTTATCGCATATTTAACATCTGGTTTTGAAGACTTAATATGTATTAACATATACCTACAACTTGTACGGAATAATTATTTTTAGTATTAGAGATACCTTAAAATGCAGCAACTTGAAAATTCAGTTAATTTATAGCTTATAAATAATGTTTTATATATAACTGCATGAGTCGGTTGAAATGCTAATTCTTGTTTCACAAATCATACTTAAAATGCAAGTGTTTGACATTTATAAGAAACGCTGTGCAAGTAAGATTTTGAATTTTCTGAATCCACAATGTTATCGCTATAGCCTTTATTTTACTTTTCCTTTTTTTTTTATCGCGTATTTCTTTCTTTATAAACAAAATTTGATACTTTCAGAAATTGATTTCACATTCGTTTCACATCAGCATTATAAAAGGCAATTTTAAATGTAATAAAAATCCGCATAGTAAAAAGTATTCCCCCTTAAAGCGTTAAAAGATTCCGCTCGGAGAAACTTTTTTCCTCTGAAATTGGATACCGGAATTTCAAGTCACTCTAACATTATCGGAATAAGACATGCAATAACTTCTTTTTTTTTCTCTCTTCCCTTCCGTCACGCACATACTATCGAGTCCCCTTCGTTCTCGCTGGGAAGGTATCTCGATCTGGAGCACGCCTTTCTCTCTCGTCCGAGTTATACTTGCAGTTCCCAAGCAGTCGACTCAGATAACTTGACTCACTTGATCCTCCGAATATCCACTCTCGCTTTATTCTCATTAAACATGTACCGTTTTCGTACAGCGTGTCGCGATTGGTGTCGCGTCTTCGCCGTGCTTCATACATTCTGAATTCTCGAGCGTCGCATTGTAAAATGTGTGTTTGCAGAGAAGATAATTTTTTACGACTAGATACAGCGTTGTTACGATGTGCGTGACTGATTTAAAGTGTAACGATGTAATAACAATGATGGATCTGGAATTTAACGCGGCTTCGTTGTCAGATTTGATGACTCGTGGAAGAACAGTGACGATTACCTCAATGAATTATCGTGGCTCGTGGTCACACGAGGTTCCTGTTTTATTTTTGCACTGATATGTGATTTGTAGTTCATTTACGTGAATATTACGTCTTATGAATTATCAAAGTTTCAATCAATTGGAAGAAAGCATGAAGCGTGTAATAATATGATTATTTGATGTGACAAAATAAATATACACAATTTTATTCGTCGAAACGTGAAAGACTGGCGTCTTATCGTGTTGTTTAATTTAATACGAGATGACTAAGTTCAGAGGTCCGTTGGTCCATCGAGTGAAGCTGATGTATCGCAATCTAAAGGATGTTACGATGGAGATAGATCGCTCGATATCATATGAAAATAGATTGCTCGGGTCAGTAGAGAATTGAAACCAAGAAATTAACGTCTTGATTTTTCAGGTTTTTATTTATGAAAAAGATAAATATTATCTATAGAAAAGATAAAAATAACATATTACTCCATCGGATTCTGAAACATCGTATAGTATCATATCTATTAAACTTTAAAAATTTTCGAAAGTAAAATATGTCTAATTCTTAGAATACATTTGTTAAAATTTAAGATTTTTTTTTTATATGTGTTGAAGATTATTTATGTAAAATTTATATATTTTTATTTAATTTATAAATAACGATATTTATATATTCTTAAGTTTTGATTTACTTTTATGTTTAAATTTCATAATAATGATGATATCTATTTCTATTTTCATAATACATATATTTATGTGCGACAAAAAGTATTGTGAAAATTTCGCGATATGTCTTCTCAGAAACAACAAAGCATATTAAACGCTTCGATGTAATGAAGCGATAACATTATTGCGGAATTCTTATTAGTTTCTTTTATTCGTGTTATTGTTCTATTCTACAATGTGCATACATGATATGCACAAACTTGCCAAACGAAAGTTTACCACGGGCAGAAAGCGTGGAAGCCTTTTACTTCGACTCGTTGTAACTTTCACGACGTGCGTTGAAATTAAGATCGGTACTGCGACTTGTGGGCACAAGATATGTTTATGCATGACCTGTACGATTAGAATTTACCGTTGCGTTAGGAGTCAGAAGTTTCTTTGCTTTGCGACATGCCACGATCTTGACGTCGATCTTGACAACGCCCGACTTATCGCGTACACGTGCACTCCGTTTAACTTGAGATTCCGTCATGATAAAATGCCGCATTGTTCAGCGATTAAGAGACTTTCGTGCTCGTACATCTTGAAAATGACACGACATGATGTGACAGACAATGTTTCTTGTCTTTTTTATTATGTATTTAAATTTTAAGAACGCGCTCATCAATAAATTATATGACTGTAATCAATTACATTAATTCGCAATTAGGTCTCTGTAATTCTAATAATTATAGTCTCTATAGTATTACAATTTGTGTAGATATATTTTCATTTCAGCGGTAAAATACAATTAGAAAATCATATCTAACAAGCATAATTGGGAGTAACTTGAAATGATAAAAATAAAATTATCCAAAAGTATTCTACCTTTTAAATATATTATTATATATATCGTTATATTATATATGAGACATGAATCAGCATAAATTCCTGACATAAATGAAAAAAATTATTTCTTCTGTTTCTATTTTTACCAATGCCTATTAATTTTAATTTATTCTTTATCTCCTTCTAATTTTTTAGAATTAATAAGAAAGATAAGAAATAAATTAAACCAAGATTATTAAAGTTAATTCGCACTGGCAAAAATAGACGGTCAAAAGAGATCGAAAGAGGGCGAGGGAAAAATGATGGAGGGAAAGTTCATTCTTCATCCGATTGATCATCCCCTGACGGGCGCGCTCCATGGAACTCCAAGTATTTGGGTTCTTCATCGAGCGGTTCTTCCGTGCCTTCGGGACAGCATTCGACGCGTACGCGACGTGCTGGTCGCACATCAGCCGGCTTTAGCGCGATCGTCCGCGCTTTTATTCTCTCGCTCGGACGCTACGGAAAAGGTGCCGTGGGCAAAAAGAAGCGATCCGTGAGCAACCGATGGATCGTGGATTGGAGGCAGGCCGATTACCGGAGTTATCAGTCGCTCGGTGATATCAATTCGCGTCGAGTATCGCGTATATTATATTTGGTGTTACGTTTACCCCACTCGTACGCCTTCGACGAGACTTCAATTTGCACGATCGTATAAATCGCGTTTTTACCAACGCGCAACACAGCGAAAAAAAATCCCACGCCCAGAGAAGATCGATCGCAATCGACGATCCCCGGATCGTTCTCGACGTTCCTTCCACGGCGCATTCCGACCACTCGAGATGATCGCATGATAATTAAAGTTTCTATGGTGAATTGACGGTGGTTAAAATTTAATTTCGTAACGCGAGTCCATATCGCTGCTCTTATCGGAGCGCGACGATGTACTGACGACGAAGTAAAAATTTTCCTTGAGATATTATCACGAGAACTTTTTTGCTCGCCAACAAGAAAAATCGATTTATCTTTTTTTTTTTGATACATAATATATTGCTTATTTTTGAAGAATTTGTCGCGTAAATAAGGCTAAAGACTTTTTTCTAAGGTAATTATTTTCCCAGAATTGTTCATTTTCTTTTTCTTCCTGACGTTGCTAAAAATAGATTTTTTTTTTGTTATTGATTGAATTAAAAGAAACTTGCGTTAACTTGCGTCGAGAGTATTCCCAAACTTGGGAATTTTTTTGTTCCGAACTTCTTCGACTTTTCGTGCTTATCTACCTGTCGTATGATAGGAAATAGATAATATTCGAGAGTCTAAATTGACGCAGATAAGAAACCACGACGCATAACAATTGTTAATAGTATCGAACGCAAAACTTTCGACTACGTTTGATGATGGAAGGTGAGGAAAAACTGCCTCTCCTTAGAAAAACTTACGGCGCCGTCGACACTCTCTGGTAAGCTTCATGACGAACAACAACGGTTATTAATTATCCTTCAATATTATGTAGATATATATTAAAGAAAGAAAAAACAATAGATCCATTGTTCTCCAAATTGTTTCTGTAAAGTTGTTTACGACTTAATTGCTTCTCTCCTTGTAAATCGAACCTCGAAATCAAGACAAAACGGAGAATTAAACTTCAGTGAAATTTGGTAAATAATTTTGGGAGTTCTTTAATAATTCTTAGCCAAATTCGAGATTAACGCAACGTAAGCTCGTAAGTTTCGGGAAATTGAATTGCAAACGAAACTCGTAATATTTAATTTTTCTCAGCTTCTCGATCGTATTTCAATGTCAAATGTATAATTTATGACTCCCCCGTCTGTCTCGTATTCCGTTAAGTCAGCTGTATGATGTTCGTAGCATGTTGTTTGTGCCGATATTGTTGTCTCTGTAATGCTCGCAGAAATCTGTTTCCGTAGTCGACATACACCGCCGTTATCTGCGAGCCGCGGATTGAAGATAAAGGGGCGAGAATTTTTGTCGAAATTAGAGATAACCGATTAACATTCTCTCCATTGTTTTCTGCACTACGATGAATGCTGAACATTCGAAATTCTACGATGTTGCGAATTAATAGTGCTTTTAGCTGTGTCAAATCTCTCCGAGACCTTTGCAACATTTTTATCTATGATGTCATTCATTCGCGAGACTATGGTGGGGATATGGGATTTCTCGATTTATCATGTTAGATACATTGCGCAAATTTAAATTAACATTGCGTAAAAGAGATTACTAAACAAAATATTAATAAAGTCGATTTAATAAAGACTACAAGACTGTCATAATAATTCGATTTACGACGATGAAGTACACGATCAAGTAATGTCTCATTTTATGTTGAAACAAAAATATATGAAACGTATTGTTAAAAGAAGTAATGATATCTAACACAAAGTCATTCATATTGCTAATTTAATAAAATAATTTTATTTAGAAAATGAAAAATAATTTATTCTTGAAAATACTTTTGCGTGTGAGTAATATTCAGTTATCAATTAATTAGTATCTTTTATAGTTTATTCATTACATTATGTTGAATTTCAATAATTGCTAATTTATTAAATCAGAGTAATAAGAATAATTTTTTACTTTCAAAAATAAAAAGAAGTTGATGTTTAAAATTATTTCTTATTGCGTAAAATTTATTTTAACGCAGTTTACATTAATTCATATTTTTATTTATTTCATTATATAGAGTTTATAGATCGAATTAAGATTAATTATAGCTTACTTTTACTGAGATAAATTAAAGATTAAATTAGCTATCTTACGCAATGTCTGAATTTATTATGAAAATTTACAGGGATGGCGACGATGACACCGATTACGAGGGTACTACGCACTTGGTGCGTGTACCACGTGTGTCGGAAGCACGGCAATTTGTGGAGGAGACCAGTACGGTTAAAATCGGAATTCAGGGGATGACCTGCCAGAGTTGCGTGCGGAACATCGAAGGGATGATCGGCGAGCGGCCTGATGTCGTCAGTATCAGGGTGGTCCTGGAAGAAAAGGCCGGCTACATCGAATACAAGACGCATGAGACCACGCCACAAGAATTAGCGGAAGCAATTGAGGATATGGGGTTCACCGTTAACTTACTGACGTCCAACGACATGAAGAACGAAGCAAACATCCCCGTCGTCAGTACCTGTAGTATACATATAGACGGAATGACATGTATGTCGTGCGTTAAAAACATCACCGGTGAGTACGAAGTACAAAATTAAAAATCCGGGAGGATGCGCTCGTGGTTCAGTTTCCAGTATCTTTGGAAATTTTTGTTCCCATTTAGAAAAAAAATTACTCTATTCATGCAAATAGCACAGCTGTTTGATTTTCTTAGTTTGAAATTTTATTTTTGATTTATATATTTAAGAACATATAAATAAATTTTCGCATTTATTCGACATTGGTTCTAAACGCCATGTTTTCTTCCGCAGGTGTTCTGTCTGAAAAACCTGGTATAAAGAATGTGAACGTTAGCCTGGAGAACAAGGAAGCCAGAGTTTCTTACAATAGCAGTGACGTAACAGCCAATCAAATAGTAATGTATGTAGAAGACATGGGCTTTACCGCGTATGTAAAAGCGAACGATAAGGCTGTGAAATCTCAATCAGATACTGTTGTTAATAAAAACAAGAAAGCAGATCTGATGCTACAAGCGAATGGCGTTGGTGATATCAAAGAACAATCATCAAAATGCTTTCTGCATATAACGGTACGTTATACTTTATAATATTTTTTAGCCTTTATCCACATTCACAAATTTTTCATATACCAATAATAAACGGATCGGATAATAAATTCGTTTGTTTATGAAAAAGGGTATGACTTGCGCTTCCTGCGTCGCCGCGATAGAGAAACACTGCAAGAAACTATACGGCGTAAACAGCATATTGGTGGCTCTGATGGCTGCCAAAGCAGAAGTCATATATGATGCCGACAAGATAAGAGCAACGGATATTGCTTCCAGTATATCGGAATTGGGTTTTCCTACGACCTTAATCGAAGAATCTGGAACTGGAGAAGGCGAAATCGAATTAAAGGTAGTTGAAGATTTGAAGTATAACATCGCCGTGTTTGTTTAGTTTGAATTCTGGAAGTAAATTCTGCTTGTCTATATAATGTGCAATTTTCGAACGCTCTTGGAATAAAGAATGTAAATTTATGTAGAAAATTAAAGATTTATGACTACTTTATATGCATTACTTGTGGAAGCGTTCTTGATCAACTTTATTTCAGATCTTGGGTATGACGTGCGCATCGTGCGTAAATAAAATAGAATCGACGGTGAAGAAGTTACCTGGTATACGATCAGCAATGGTCGCTCTTGCAACACAGCGGGGCAAGTTCAAGTATGATGTGGAAAAAACCGGTGCCAGAGATATCATTGAATGTATCAATAAATTAGGTTTCACGGCCAGTCTATTTAGCAATCGAGATAAGGAGAATAGAGATTACTTAGACCAAAAGTAAGTAACAATTTTGTATGCGATATGTGTAAAAGTTAATTAATGGTCATTGTGTGTCGCAGAGAAGAGATAAGCAAATGGCGAACAGCGTTCTTGGTATCATTGATCTTCGGAGTTCCATGTATGATAGCAATGATATATTTCATGATAATCATGATGTTCGGTAAGACACATGAAGAAATGTGTTGTATAGTACCTGGTCTGTCTTGGGAAAATCTGCTACTCTTTTTGTTCTCCACACCAGTGCAGGTATGCGCAAAAAGATAACGGACATTCACTCTTATTGTAATCCACTGTATGCGATTTGAATTAACTGTTTATATTATTGCGCAGTTTTTTGGCGGTTGGCACTTCTATGTGCAAGCCTATAAAGCCTTGAAACATGGTACAACCAACATGGATGTCTTAATCTCAATGACTACCACGATCTCGTATCTCTACTCTATCGCTGTCCTCACTGCCGCTATGATAATGCAAGAGAATATCAGTCCACAGACGTTCTTTGATACTCCACCAATGCTTCTAGTCTTCATCAGTTTGGGAAGATGGCTCGAACATATAGCGAAGGTATTTTATCACGGTTGAATATTTTTTTCTCAAAAAAGTATCTAAAATATATAAAAGTAATTCTAAAATATATTTTGCTTTTAGGGAAAAACATCTGAAGCTCTCTCGAAATTGCTGTCTTTAAAAGCCACGGACGCAGTGTTAATTTCTTTAGGACCCAATAATGAAATATTGTCGGAGCGGTTGATAAGCATCGACCTGGTGCAACGTGGAGACGTGCTGAAGGTAGTTCAAGGTGCGAAAGTACCGGTCGATGGCCGCGTGCTGTCTGGTCAGTCAACCTGTGATGAGAGTCTAATCACGGGCGAGAGCATGCCGGTACCGAAGAAGAAGGGTTCAGTGGTGATTGGTGGATCGATCAATCAGAATGGACCGTTGCTGATCACCGCCACACACACGGGCGAGCACACGACGCTGGCACAGATTGTTCGTTTGGTTGAAGAAGCACAAACAAACAAGGCACCGATTCAACAACTGGCTGATAAGATAGCTGGCTATTTCATACCTTTGGTTATAGTGGTCTCCATAATAACTTTGATAATCTGGATTATTGTCGGTTACATGAACGTTGAGCAACTGCCCATATCACACAATGATCAGATTAAAAAACATGGTATGAACCGCGAGGAGATCATATTTCAGTATGCCTTTCGAAGTGCCCTGGCAGTACTCGCAATTGCTTGCCCCTGTGCTCTTGGCCTAGCTACACCAACCGCAGTTATGGTCGGCACAGGTGTGGGTGCATTGAACGGCATCCTGATCAAGGGCGCCGAACCATTAGAAAATGCCCACAAGGTCAAATGCATTGTCTTTGACAAAACGGGCACATTGACGCATGGAATGCCAATTGTAACTAAGATCGGTTTGTTCGTGAACGAAAAGATCTGTTCATTGGCGAAGTTGCTGCTGATCGTCGGCACGGCGGAAATAAACAGCGAACATCCCATTGCATCAGGTAAATATATTAAATATCTTGCTTTCCGTATATACAATTACGTTGAAACGAAATTAATAATTATTAATTCTTTTAAAAGCAATTGTACGCTACGTAAAAAACACAATCAGCTCGACTGCTACCGGACAATGCACAAACTTTCAAGCGGTCGCTGGCTGCGGTTTAAAATGTAAAGTATCTCATTTGAACGCTGCACTATCTGACGCACTGAAATCCGAGAAGATCATCAATTACATGAATCAGACAAACAATGCACCAGCTGGAATCTACAATCTCAACGATGTGCCCATCGACAACGTGCCAATCACCGAATCAACGCAAGATAGACAAAATTTAGATCTAGAATTACTTTTAAGTCCCGATTCACACGGTGATCGAAACACTGCCGACGATACGTATGAAGTTTGTATCGGTAATCGGGAATGGATGCGTCGGAACGCGATTAATATTCCGCAAGAGGTTGACATGAGGATGATCAATGAAGAAGATCTAGGGCACACTGCTGTCCTAGTCGCAGTGAACAGCATTCTAGTTGCCATGGTCAGTGTGGCCGACACGGTGAAGCCCGAAGCGCATCTCGCGGTTTACACGTTGAAGAAAATGGGATTACAGGTGATTCTGTTGACAGGCGATAATAGGAAAACCGCAGCTTCAATCGCTAGACAGGTATATAGATGACATTTTATTGTATATAAAAGATTTAATTTTTACGGTAAAAATTAATTTTTATTGGCTTTGCTTCTTGGGATATATAGGTCGGCATCAGCAGAGTTTTCGCGGAGGTATTACCATCACACAAGGTCGCTAAAATTCAGCGACTGCAAGATCAAGGTTTGAGAGTCGCCATGGTGGGTGACGGTGTCAATGACAGTCCGGCTCTAGCTCAGTCAGATGTCGGTATCGCTATCGCGTCGGGCACGGATGTCGCTGTAGAGGCTGCCGATGTAGTTCTGATGCGCGTAAGTCATATAAATAAGTAAAAGTAATATATTTTATGAGTTGTTATACGAAAGGACTGTTGAATTTTTTGCAGAACGATCTTCTGGACGTAATTGCGTGTTTAGATTTGTCAAGGAAGACAGTCTTTAGAATAAGATCGAATTTCTTATTCGCTAGTATCTACAATCTTCTGGGCATTCCCATAGCTGCCGGGGTATTCAGCTCCTTCGGTTTCTTTTTACAGCCATGGATGTCCTCTGCTGCCATGGCTTTAAGTAGCGTTTCGGTGGTAGGAAGTTCCTTATTATTGAAATTGTAAGTTTTTACCTGTATTTATTGTGAACTTAATCATGAATTTAAAATATTTATAATGTAAAATCTCTAAGAAAAGAAGATTTTTATTTTATAATTGGTAGGATTTTAATGTGTTCACTAATCATCTGTGCAGTTACCGTAAACCAACTAAAGCCACGTTGGAAACTTCGGAATACTTAGCAGCTATGCATGCTCATTCTACAGCGCGAATGATCGATATGGACGCGATATCACTCCATCGTGGACTAGACGATTCGGTCATGCCAGTTATGAACAGATCGACTTCCACATTGTCCAGGTATAGGCAAACGAATATGTTGCTTTCGAATGTCTCCCAAGACTGTAATAACTCCATAGCTTAACATCATGTATAACTAATTGATGTTATTTTTGGGAAAAAGTCATTATTTCTTATATTAACCACGTACAAAATGGCAATTATTTTTGATAATGCATCTTATGCTCTTCCCTAACGCTTATTAAATTGATTTATAAATAATTATTATTATGTTTGCGAATAACATTAATAGGAAATCAACTGTATTTAATTAATAATTATATATGTATTGCTTTGTAAATAACTTATAATTTAAGCATATTTGACAAATTTGATTTTCTTGTAAATATAATTTATGCTTTTTAGATATTTATATATAGAATGATTCTTAATTAAATTAATATAACATAATTAATATAATTATATATGTAATATATATATGTAATATATATAATTATATTAATTATATATTTTATAATGCTAACGAGATCAAATTTGCTCTTATTGAATGAAAAATGTAATTCACATAATTTTTAAACGTATTTTTTTAACTTTCATGATTTTTCGGAGATATCAAAAATCTAAGTTTTTATCTTAAAAAAAATTATGAATACCAATACTGAATAAGTAAGAATCATTCTACATGTGTAATGTGTTCCTTCAAATCAAACTAGATATACGAGATTTCATGTATAAAGTTACATTACTTTTGCTTTTAATGATTTTGTTTAGAGTTGATTGAAATTATAATTACATATTTCTTTATATAAAAAAACTTTATTTTAATGTTATAAAAATTTTGCTTATTCTCTGCAAATACTGGTTCGTTACTTATAACAGAATATAAGACTGAGAAAAAAAATGTTCTCGCTCGAAGAAGAAATGTATTATATAATTAAAATTATTACAAATATAATTCTTTATAATAAATAATAAATAAGTAATAATGAATAAAATTATGATGTAATGAATAAAATGTAAATGGATTGCTATGCAATCTTTAAAGAAAATTATTGGATACAATGTATTTAACTTTACCGTACAAATATTTTTGATGGATAAACTTATATATGCATTTTTAATTATTATACCTAATCCTGCTTACAACTAATTCATTTATGGTAAAGGCTATTTATTCATCTAACATCTAATTATATTTTACACAAAAAGATCTCAATTTTAATTCATGTTTTATCGGGAAATATAACAAATATATAATTTATTGAATTGTAAATTTAAAAGAAATTAACATGTACTAACATTTTATTGTGTTATATACAAGGGTAGTCCTAAAAGTTTTGAGCCTAACATAGAAACAAGTATTTTTTCAAATATAGTATTATTTTTCAACATAATCTCCTTTTAAGTCGATACACTTTTCCCATTGATATTCTAACCTCTTTAACCCTTCCAAATAGTAGTTGGCGTCTTGCTTCGCAAAATAGGCGTTTACGTATGCGATGACCTCCTCGTTCGATGAAAATCTCTGTCCTCCAAGCGAAGCTTTAAGCTTAGGAAACAGGAAAAAGTCGCTGGGGGCCAGATCTGGTGAATACGGTGGATGGTCAATCAATTCGAAGTGCAGTTCGTGAATTTTGGTCATGGCGACCGCCGAAGTGTGAGCAGGTGCGTTGTCTTGATGGAACAGCACTTTTTC